TCAGGTTGGCACACTGGGGGAGACAGACCCGCCCCTGAGCTCCCCACACCACACCCAGACTGCTCTTCACCTCCCCTGAAACCACCAGGTTTTATCCCAGCACCATCAGATTTATCCCAACACCACCAGGTTTATCCCAGCACCTTCAGCTTCATCCCAGCACCTACAGGTTTTATCCCAGCACCCTCAATTTTATCCCAGCACCCTCAATTTTATCCCAATACCCTCAGCTTTATCCCAGCACCCTCAGCTTTATCCCAGCACCCTCAGCTTTATCCCAGCACCCTCAGGGGTATCCCAGCACCATCAGCTTTATCCCAGCACCTTCAGCTTTATCCCAGCACCTTCAGCTTTATCCCAGCACCCTCAGGGGTATCCCAATACCCTCAACTTTATCCCAGCACCCTCAGCTTTATCCCAGCACCCTCAGGGGTATCCCAGCACCCTCAACTTTATCCCAGCACCACCAGGTTTATCCCAGCACCCTCAGCTTTATCCCAGCCCCCTCAGGGGTATCCCAGCACCATTGTGTTTATCCCAGCACCCTCAGCTTTATCCCAGCACCCTCAGGGGTATCCCAACACCCTCAGCTTTATCCCAGCCCCCTCAGCTTTATCCCAGCACCTTCAGGTTTATCCCAGCACCTTCAGGTTTATCCCAGCACCCTCAGGGGTATCCCAGCACCCTCAGCTTTATCCCAGCCCCCTCAGGGGTATCCCAGCACCATTGTGTTTATCCCAGCCCCCTCAGCTTTGTCCCAGCCCCCTCAGCTTTATCCCAGCACCCTCAGCTCAACTGGTTTTAGTGCCAGTTCTCCTTCCGAGCGATAAAGGATCAAACCTCAAAGAACATTCCCAGGTTGGCTCTGACCTTTTCCTTTCTCTCCCTGGTCAGTCAGGGGTTAAGCTGTTTGAAGCCGGGGGGTTTTCTGCCCCTTCCTCACCTGCTTCTTGACGCTGTCGATCTCGGAGCGCAGCCGCTGCACGTGCCGGTTGAGCTCGGAGATCTCCTGCTTGGTGTTCCTCAGGTCGTCCCCGTGCCTGCCGGCCGTGGCCTGCAGCTCCTCGTACTGTCCGGGAGAGGGACGGCCCGTCAGGGCAAAATCTGCCCCCTTTGGAGCCACCCCGGGCTGCTGGGAGCCCCTCCCTGAGCCCACGGGACCCCCTCCCTGA